AATTGCAACTTTTCTGTAATTTGAGATAGTATCGAAATAAAATAATGTATTTGACAAAGAATCCTTATCCTCATTTCCAAACACATATGATCATTGAAGTTACCCAGTGTGATAACAGCCCTTGGAACTAATTGTTCACAGAAGATACTTGGGCCAACACTCTTGCAAGCAATCCTACTCAATTATTATCAGGGCAGGAGGCCCAGTAGAGAGGAGAGTCTTCCGTGTTTGGGCCCAAAACGTTTCATTAGCCTTTTCCTTTTCTGTACCTACTAGCATAGGCTTGGGGGAAAAGGAGAAGAAAGAAACAGAACCTTGAATTTATCTACACAAAGGGACAATCTGAGAAAAATTTTAGATTCTGTGTCAAGTCCCTTGCATCATGGTAGAAACAGTGAAGCAGACTGATATAATAAAAGTACAATTGGTGCTTTCATGATCTCATTTAATTCTATCTGTATCTAGCTTTTAAGAAAGAAGGCCTAAAAATTATTTAGTATCAATATTGTAAGCATGATTAAAATTAAATTAAAGGATGAATAAAAAACAAATTGGTTCTAAAAAGTTAAGGACCAAATTGTGGTGAAGCCAGGATTAGAAGCCATGGCTGGCATCCCGTGACAGTCTAACCTGTAATCCCCTGATCTCTCCACTCCAGTAGGTTGGTTCTCTGTTAAAAAAAAAAAAAAAAAAAAAATGCTATTTTGTTCTCCAAGTAACAATATGCTTTGGGAAAACTGAGACAGACATGAATTAATCAGAACTCAAATAAGAATCCACTTGCCACTCCATTTATGACATATTTTTCATCTTTTGCAAATAAAAATCCCCAGTAGAACATGTAGGACTGGCAGTTGAATAGTCTTCCAAGATGTTATCTCGGTATGCATATTTTTTAATGCCTCTCTGCTCATTTTATATCAGTAGCTTCATTGATTCCAACACCTTAAGCCATTACTTTGTAAGCAGGAACATTAAGTTACTGCTGGCCTGAGAGAGTTCATTCAGTATCTACACTGCTTTTCATATAAAATTCAACACACTGCCTGAAATGTGAAAATAATCGTCTTGCTTTTCCTTCAGTCTTCCAAACAAATACTTGTGAATTTAACCAAGGAGGCAAGAAAGACAGCTGGAACCAGAAAACAAAATAGTATCAATTACTAATATGTCCCATTCTCAGCTCAGGCTTGTCTTATCTGAAGCTTGTAAAATTGTTTAATCTTTTCCATCATCTCAGGGAAAAGAGAGCCTGGAAAATCCTAGTCATTTCACAGTAACTATCAGTGGGATTTTCCATAACTCTCTGGATGCAAAATGAAAATCCTGAGAAGTTGATCCAATTCTAAATCTTACTTCTCAACTTACTAATAAATATAAAGAGATAATTCATACACATTTTCTTCAAATAACATCTGGTTTCTTGGCCAGACTGCTGATACCTGAAAAAGTTTCTAAGTTTGTTCCAAAAAAATCTACATTTAAAGAACTCAAAAATACATCTGCGCACTAAATATTCTTTTCTGCATCTGATTTAGGGCCAGCGGATGGAACTGAGAGACAGAAGCTTGCCAAGGACTTGGGAAGGAGGGGAATAAAACTGCCTTCTAAAAGTTAAACTGTAAAACCAACACTTAATAGATCAGGGCTGAGAAATCAGAAATCACCACAAAGGGACAAAAAAGTTTGCAGGCCAGCAAGACTTGGCTGTGACCCCACTAAAGGTATGATACACACATGTAAAGACTATCGATCAGTCACGGAGTCATGGAAGAAGGGTTGCTCAGATAGACTTGAGCAGAACCCACCAAGGCTCTGTTTGGAGTTGAAGGAGCCAGGAGCAGCAGATTTGGGGTAGCACAAAACCCCCAACAAGGCATCTCTATCATGAAAATGAAGGCATTGCTTTATCTTCATCTGATTACCATTAAGCCTTACCCTGGGCTGGCCCGCCTTATTCAAGATGGAAAGCTCAACATTGAACATACCGCCTACCCCAGGGCAAGCAATCATCAGATGTTTGCTCATGAATTTGCTCCAACTCTTTGCTCACAACCTCCTGATTATAATTCGGCTCCCCACAGAGTTCCGACTACAGGGAGAGAATGACCTCGTCTTGTGGATTTGAGAATTCTGGTCCCCGTGCCAGATACTAAACTCATTGGAATATACAGGTTAGCACTTGAGTTTGCTTATTCCCAGGCTGCTCCCAAAGGAAGGGCCCTTGTGTGTGCTGCTGGATCACGTTTCTGACCCCCAACGGCTGGCAATGAGTCTCTGGCGCGTGGTAACTTCCACCAGGAGGATGATGGCAGTGGTGGTGACGGGGACCACCCCGGCCACGGGCAAAGCATCTTCTGTGTACTCTCAGACACTGTACTGGGTTCTTTACATACTTCAACTCACTCAATCCCCGCAATAATCCAATAAATTAGGCAGTATAAGTATTCCCATTTTGTAAATGAGGAAACTGATGCTCAGAAAGCTATAGTAACTTACCCAAAGACCTATATTCAGAACCTGGATTCAGATACAGATTTGTCTGACTCTAAAACCTAATTTCTTAAGTTTTTAAAAATATCACCTTTGGGGAGAGGAACCCTAATATTTCTCCTAGCCACACTGCTCTGCTTCAGCAGTGTACGCTAGGCCATTCCAGGCCATCTTCGACATGACTCTTCATCAGTGCAGCACTGTTGTGCACGCCTTCACACAAATACACATACAGCAGCAATCCACCCTAACCAGAAGTATACAGGGTCAAGCCCCATCTCAAGAAACAGTATGACCATCTACTCCATGCCATCAGACCATTAGCTTCAGGACCCCAAAGTGGGGGCTTCCTCCTTCACGCTTCCATCTCCCCCGCCACCTTTGCCATATACCACCCAATCATTCACACACCCTCCAATTAGACCACTTCAATACTTCCCTAACTCAACCACTTCCCCTCTGCTCACTATTCCCATTGCTACTATCCATCTTTCACCTGGACCACTACAAAAATCCCCTAGGTTGTGTTTTTGCTTTTACTCTTGCTCAATTTTGCTCCATTTTGCACCTGAATCTTGGGGACAAGTTATCAAGGATGTATCCAGTGATCTTTATACAATATCATCATGGCATTCCAAGGTTTAAAGCTCCTTCCATGTGACCCTTTGTCATCCTCTGTGCTTCAGCCCTAATTGCGACTGGCCTGCAGTTCTCAGAATGTACTCAGCCCTGTAAGCCCCAAGATGGCACACATACTGGGTGTGGATACACCCACATGCCCCTGGCCCAGTCTTCTGTCCATGCCTCCCCTGGTCAGCTCATATAGGTACTCCAGAACTCACTCATGTTTCACCTCCTCCAGGAAGCCTGGGTTAGGTGCCCAACTGAGGGGTTCTCATCACACCCCTGCTTACCCCTCCTCTCACTAAATGGGAATTTTTTATTCATGTGACTCCAGCTCCAGACTCTGACCTCCCTGAAAACCAGGACCCATCCTGTTTATACACAGTGCCTAACATGAACAAATGCTTGTTAAATGAAAGAAGAAATGTGAGCCTCGTATACCATAGGTGTCAGACTCCACCCAGCTTCCTCAAGTACCAGCTGTGCGATCCTGAGAAAACTGTTTCATCTCCTTAGACCTCAGAGTCACTATCTGTAAAATGGGACTCATAAAACCTATACTGTCAAGTTATTGTGAGATTTAAACTAAATCATATATGTATGTGTAAAGTCTTCAGCACCATGCCCGATATATAAGCGCTCAAATATTGGTTGTTATAATTATTATTATTACTATGCCCTTCAAGACACAACTGAAAACATTCATGTTCTTGCAAGACTTTGTAGATATTCCCAATCCACCATGATGACTCTGCTGCTCCATATTACGTAATACATTATCTTGCACCTCTGAATAATATTGTTTTAAAGGGTTTGTCCTTTCCATGCATTCTTCAAGTAGCATAATACTTCAACAAATCCTTCTAGAAGAAATGATAACATTAAGATCTGTTTCGTTCTAGAAACTAATGGTGCCCTTTTGCTGCCCATTGGAACCTTAAACCATGGACATTCACATTGCAACTGCCAATGATGCAAATGCCATAAACAGAGGACAGTGACACATAGAAAAACAGTAGGGCTCTGGAAGGAAACCCTGCTGATCCCAGATTAGAAATTAGGTCTTAAAGGGGCCACAAGTAAGATTAGGTATTAGAAAAAGGGTCCTCTGTCACAACAGATGTGGAAAGGTGAATTACCAGACCAGTGGTGAAAAAAAATGGAAATAGCATAACATGCCTCTGTTCCTGTATGGAATATTGTGAAGCCATTAAAAATAGGTAAGGAGCCAACTAACACAATGGTGGCAAATAAGAACATGTAAGAGACAATGTCAACTAAAAAGGATTCAGATAATATATGGCTTTTTGATTACGGTATGCACAATTTGCTTTAAAACAAACAAAAAACCTTAAGGGAGCAGATGAAAATGTTAATAGTTGTAGCAAGGTGATGAATTTGTGGGTCAAATCTTTTTTTTTCTTTTATCAATCCCCCACACCTTTTGTAGTGTTGCCATATACCGTTAAAATGCAAAAAAATATTTCTTGGAAAATGTTTATTCTGTGTGTCAGATAGGACAGAAGACACGCCCTAGGCTGCAGGGCCTCGGAGAGCTGCAGGCCTGACTCAGCAGCGTGCAGGCGTGGGCCGAACGTGGCATGGGGGCGCCCTGCAAGAGGATCCTGCTCTTGCAGGGTCATTTCTTCACCTCCCCCGCTGGGCATTACTGAGTGCCCGCCGCTGGCATGCCACACTCGGTGGGCCCAAGCCCGCTTCCAGACCCCGACCTTGCTTGTACCCAAGCGACTCTCTTTGCAAACGATCTCTCTGGGAGAAAGTAGAAGCCGCAAGGGCTGAAAAGCGAGCGCCCAGACTCAGGCCCCCGCGACCTCGCCGTCCCCAGGCCCGCCCTGGCTTCCCCCCACCCCGGTGCCCCGTACCTCTTGCAGGGGACCAGCGCCTTCCTCTCGTCCAGCACCCGCACGCGCTGGTTGAGCCCGTCGTAGGAGAGCAGGGCGCGGCTGTTGCGCCCGGTGCTCTGCTGGTACAGGACCTGGCGGCCCTCCCACTGCTGCGGCGCCTGGCACGGGCGCGGCGACCCCGGGAAGCCCGCCGCCCCCAGGCCGCGCAGGCCGCCCAGAGTCCAGACCCAGAGGCTGCCCAGCAGCCAGGCGCCCAGGGCCCCCCGGGCCACGCGGAGGGGAGCGGGGCCTGGCATCACGACCCTTCACCCCCAGGAGGGAGCCCGAGCCCAAGGGGGCGCTGAGGCGCCCGGGCGGGCGCAGAGTGGCTCGCGCCGCTTCCCTCCGCACTGCTTTGCCGCGAGTGTGGTCTGGGCGAAGGCGCTTCCAGCCCCCGCGGTGGCCTCCGCGCAGTCGAGATCAGATCGGGACGCACAGGGAGGGCCCCAGTGAATCGCACGGGAGCTATTTCTGCCCGGGACGCTGCCTGCTGCCGCTTCGCTTCTGTTTTCACTGCTCACTGCTGCCAACAGGAAATGCAGTGGCAGTGGTGCCACTAGCATCCTGAACGGCATCGTGTTTTAGAAGGGGGTGGGGGCCTGTGCTGAGAAGGGGTATGTTTCCCCACTAACTGCAGTGTTCAAGAGGCGGTCACATGCTGGGGGGGGCAATTTCTAGGTCACGATCCAGAAAGCAGAGCTACTGCACTTGCTGTGCCCCCACATACTGTGCCCCTTGTCAAAAACCGCAGCCTTTTCCCTCCAAATTAAAAGTGGAAAGACAGGTCCCTTCCTTAAGAAATGATACTAGCTATTCCATATGGCCACTTCCCAGCCCCCAATCTCAACGAAGGGTCCTGGGAACTAGGAATGGGCCCTTGGGTTCAGCCTAGTTCAGGGACATTGTCTGAGGGTCACATTGCAGTGAGACTGCTCCCCTCCCATTGCCGGGCAATACTACTAGCCAAGTGGTCCTGTGTCTGGGGTGCTTAGCATCTTCAAGAACAAAGTTAACCGGGTTTATGTTTATGTGATGCTAGGATCTAAATTATAGAATCAAGAAAAAAGAAAGCAACTAAAAGGAAAGACTTACTCTCCAAGTTTATAGCTCCTTTCCACTTGAGCTACGTGTCAAGGATGAGGAAGAATGAGCCAGGTGAAAATGAGAGAGAACGTTCCTGAATGAAGGACGTGAGGACAAGAGAAAATGAGTGTAGTGTTGGGGTTCAAGTACAAGGCAGAGGGTAATCTGGAGCCATATCACTCATTTTAAGGATTTTGCTGTTAATATCGAGGACAGTGAGAGCCATCAATCAATCTAAAGCTTGGGAGGGGCACCATCAGGTGTGTCTGCCTTGGGAAGCTCACTCAGGTGACAGTGTAGAGAATGGGCAGGGCCAGATGGAAGGCAGGAGACGGCAGAGGAATCTGCTGTTATAATCCTGGGACGACATCCTGCCTGAGCTAACAGAGAGGTGGATGGAATGGAGAAGGTGGAAGGGAGTTGGGAACTATAGAGAAGGATTTAGATTCAGAAGGAGAGATTTCTGGTTTGGGGCACTGGGAATTCAGAACTGAATGAGGAAAGAAGATAAATTTATTTTAGCATTGGTTGACTTTGAGATGATTATGGGATATTCTGGTGGAAATACCCAAAGGACAGTTGAGTAAATACTTCCAGAAAGCAGCAGAGTTTTTGGATTTAGAAGCCATGGGCGCAGAGGTGGTAATTAAAGCCAAAGAGTAAAACAGTGGTTCCTGGGGGCAATTTTGAGCCCCAAAGGACATTTGGCATTTGGTAATATCTGAAGACATGTTTGATTGTCACAACCAGGATGGGGAGAAGGCTGCCACTGACATTTAGTAGGTGGGGGCCAGGGATGCTACTACACTTCCTACAATGTGCAGTGCAGCTATCCCCACCAACAAAGAATTAACTGGCCCCAAATGTCAAATGTGCTGAGGCTCAGAAAACCTGGAGCAGAGGGGAGCGTTGAGAGTGAAAAGAGGGTTGAGCTTTACAGAGCTCCAGATATTTAAAGGGTAGGCAAAAGAGCAAGCACTTGAGGACCTTGAAAAGGAGTCACCAGAGAGAAGCCACTGACAAGGGCAACTTCCTCAGTTACCACGCTTTGGCAAATAAATGTAAGGTTATAATGGGTTGAGTGCCAAAGTGGGGTATTCTAGAATAACAGCTAGAAGAGAAGGGGGGTTGACAGGTTCTCCCGATGAACCCCTCCCTGCTGCCCCCCTCTCTCTATAAACACTAGAGACATGCTACCAATGGCCTAGAGAGGTAAGCAAAGAGCTTCAGACAGAAGGGCTCTTCACCTCCCCTCACCCCTTCTTAAAGGACAGGCCATCAGAAAACACCAGGAACGCGCATGAGGCTTTGTGATTGGTACTTGCATAAACAGATGCAGCAGGTTCAAACTGGCTGCAGAAGTTTGATCCCTCTCCAAATCTGCCCTCCCCAACCAACTCATAGGAAAAGGGTAGGTAGTTCAGCTCTTTCTCTTGCTCCCCTGGTAGGAACTCTGACTGAAGATCCTTTTCACTCAGGGAGAGATTTAGACTCATTGGATTTTACTGCTGAAATGGCTTGAGATGCGATCTGGGCTGTTCCCCTTGCCTGATATTTTACTAGCCTGGTTTGGCATCTTTGGAGTTTGATATGTGTTCTGTAGGAAACTGGAATACTTCTCTACATTGGTGTGGCTGCATAAGGACACCCTGGGCTTCCGTTAAATAGAACTGGAATCTTTGGGTGAATCCTTAAATGTACCCATTTCATTTATCCTTTTAACTTACTATGTTTAATTCATGTTCCTGGAAAAAATAAGATAATGCATTTAAAATTCTTAGCTTCATGCCTTCCCCATTGTAAATTCCCATTAGTTGTTAGCTGTGCTTGTTTTTTTCTCAGCTATTTTAATCCTTAGTCCTGGTGGAGATCAAAACTAACCTAACTTTGTGGGCATAAGCTTTGGAGAGAAAAGGCCTATCTGCCTTAAGTTCAGATTAAACTATGTTTTAAAGGTTAACATTAAAAGAACATATTTCCATATTGCTGATGCCCTAAGAAAATATCATATACCAGAAGTCTTACTGCCTGAAGATTGATACGCCCTTACAACAATAAAGCCTCCCTTTTCTGTAGACAGCTGAGCCAGCAGCTGGATTTACTGCCTCCCCCTAATGCAAATAAGATAAAAGAGGAAACGAAGCATACATACTTGCTTTCCATGGAACACAGCTTCTCACTCAATTCAAGTAACAGTCTCCAAGCACATCAAAAATCAACACTTTAAGCTGCTGGGTTGGAAATTGTTTGGCATGAAGGAGAAAAATAATCTTTCAGACTGTGGTGTCCAAAGTTCTCTTTGTTTTCTCCTGGGTTCCATCTAGAAGGAAGGGGGAATGTTGGTAGACAGAAGACATTTCCCAAACTAAAAAATGCTATCGCACCTTCCAGCAGTTCTACTGAGTTCCTGGAGCAGGTGCAAACCAATTGCTACCTGGAAAAACTGCAGCCAAAACTCGTGTCAACTAGCCACAACAACAACAACAACAAAAACTCCACACGACTAGGGGCGGGGTGGGCTGGCTTATATAACGTGTCCATTCTGTTCCAGCCTTTCCTGCACTCCCCCCTGGCGGGGCAAGGTAGTCTCGCTGCTGTCCTCAGCGCTCCTCACGCCCCCTACTGGAGAAAGCAAATATGTTTGGGAATTAGATGGCAGCGGCAGTTCCCATTTCCCTCCAACTCTATACTTGAGAAACCAAGGCAGCAGAAGCAAAGCTCAGCTTTCACTCAAAAAAAAGCATCTTTTCCTCTCTGGAAAGTCTCTCCTGCCTGCCCCCTCTTGTAGCCGGTGTCCAAAACGACTGCTAGAGGCTCTTTTTCTTGGTCCGAAGAAACAGGACTGGCCAGACTAGAAAGGAGGGGCTTTGGGGAAAGCAGGATTGCAGCCCTGGGCGGTAGCCGGGAGGAGATGATGTCACCGCTCCTGCTCGCAGAGGCCTGGGGGTGGGGCAGCCGAGGGGGAGCCCCCGCGCCGCGCCGCCGGCAGCTGCCAAGGGAGCGTTCCGAGCCCACGTCAGGGGACGCGTCGGGATAAATAGGGTCCCGCAATGGCCGTGGCTGGCTGCGCTCGGAGCTGCGGGGTCCGCGACTGGAGCTGCCCGGGCGGGTTGGCGCCCCGGAGGCTGAGGGCTGGCGCTGCTAGCGCCGCGTGCGCCAGACGGCAGAGATCCGCGGCCGGACCCTGCGGCCCCGCGTTGCTGCCGACTGGAGCTTGGGGACAGGACCGCTCCTGCGCCCACAGAGGACTCCCTCCTCGCAGGAGGCGCAGGGAAAGGCTAGGGCGGCGGGAAGAAAAGGGCCCTTTCTGCCTGTCGGGGTCGCAGCGCGGGAGGACAGTGCCATGCTCCTCTCCGTCCTGGTGGCGCTGTGCCTGTGGCTGCGCCTGGCGCTGGGCGTGCGCGGCGCACCCTGCGAGGCGGTGCGCATCCCCATGTGCCGGCACATGCCCTGGAACATCACGCGGATGCCCAACCACCTGCACCACAGCACGCAGGAGAACGCCATCCTGGCCATCGAGCAGTACGAGGAGCTGGTGGACGTGAACTGCAGCGCCGTGCTGCGCTTCTTCCTCTGCGCCATGTACGCGCCCATCTGCACCCTGGAGTTCCTGCACGACCCCATCAAGCCCTGTAAGTCGGTGTGCCAGCGCGCGCGCGACGACTGCGAGCCGCTCATGAAGATGTACAACCACAGCTGGCCCGAGAGCCTGGCCTGCGACGACCTGCCCGTCTACGACCGTGGTGTGTGCATCTCGCCTGAAGCCATCGTCACTGATCTCCCGGAGGGTGAGGCCTGGGGAAGGACGAGGGAGGTGAGGAGGCGCCACCCGGGGCTGTTGCCACCAGGGTAGAACTGGGCGGCCACACCTAAGGCTGCCAGGGGCTGGTCAGCCCCCATTCCACTTCACTTTGAGGATTAGCGGAGGTGGTAGGGGCGGCGTGCAATTCTGAAAAAGTCTGATTTCCCCACAGGAATCTCCAAGAGAAGCTAAGCACCCCTTACAAAGGGAACCACTGCCAATGTTTTCACTTACAGTAATAACAGAAATAATAACAGCAAACTATGTATCTGAGCAAGTGTTAAGCATATTACACGCATGAACTCATTTAATGCTTAAAAAAAAAATCTCACCAGGAAGGTGCTAATACTCTCTACATTTAATGCTACTTCTTAAAAGTCCTTTCTGAAAAAGCTGTAAATGTTATCCGTTCCCAGCCAGGAGTGACGTTTGTAAATGCAGTCACCCTGGAGTATTGTGACTTGCGTTTCATTGATCGTGGACCAGGAGCCAACTGTGGTATTTTAGTGAATCTGATCTCTGCTTCCTCTTCCTCTTTGGTCATTTGGCTGCTTTGCTTTGAAGAAGGAGCAGGTTTAAATTCACTTCTTGAAATGAAGCCGAAGAATATTTTTGCATTCTTTTCTCCAGGCTTTCTCTGACCTAGCTTATCTCACATTTGAACATAAAGTCTTGCTGCAGTGTAGTGTCTGAAGTTACACTTCAGAGCATTGCTTTAAACATGAAGGAGTGGTTAAGTGAAATTCCTCTCTAATTCAGAGTTTTAGGGAAAAAAACTTATCGTTTGAATTATGTAAGTGATAGAGGATTATGCTTGGTTTTGGTTATGTAGAAATGGACTGTTTCTGTACTGCAAAGTATGAGGTGGGGATTTGGAAATATTTTGGTTATTTGGATTAGTGTTAACTGTCAACTTGTAAAATCAACATTTTAATATAGCTTGGAGAGGGAATAATGTATATGTACCTCTATGTACCAGCCAGGTTAAATGGATATGCATTCACATCATTTGTGCTTGGGTAAGCAAAGTCTCACCCCAAAGACTCCTTTCCTAAGCCCTGGGATGTCATTATAAAAGAAGCAATTGATGACTGCATGCCATTTTTACTATTAAGTACAGTTCTTGTTATGATCCTGTGTAAGTTTATGTCTTCAGATAGTTCTTTATTCCAGTTGGGTGAACAGACCAAATCACCAACCACACCCATGTGGCCCTGCTTGTGTTTCAGATGTTAAGTGGATAGACATCACACCAGACATGATGGTACAGGAAAGGCCTCTTGACGTTGACTGTAAACGCCTAAGCCCCGGTGAGTTCGTTTTTCCTCAAGGCTCCCTCTCCTTTTCCTCCCCAGAGGATTCCGTACCATTTTCCAACTTTCTGTCTCTCTTTCACCTTTTGTAGATCGCTGCAAGTGCAAAAAGGTGAAGCCAACTTTGGCAACATATCTGAGCAAAAACTACAGCTATGGTAAGTCATCTGATAGAGCCATTTACTTCTGAGACTTGGCACTTTACAGAGCTGGAATGTCAATAAGGCTGTCACTGCTAAGAAGGCCAGATCTACTTAGTCACAAAGTAAAGAAGAGGGTTGGTGATTTTTCTAATCAATTACGTGGGTTCTATATGGCACATGACAATTGTAAAACTTTTTGCTTTTCTGGGTAAATCAAGTGGAAGAACAAAATGGAAAATATCCAGGTGAGAACAGTTATGTAGGTCCGATTAAAAGTTTGATATCTTGATCCTCCTTGTCTTGGTGAGAAGCACTGCTCATCCCAGATGGCACACCCACCTGGTCTCTTCTTGAGGTTTCATTGCTGCAGGAAGGATGGGTGTGGATGTCTGGATGGATTTGAATATGGGTGGCCCAGAAAATTAAGGCCCCGAAGCCCAGAGAATTAAGATGTCCCTCTGTACCTTTTTTACTTATAAAAACATACAAATATTTAACATCTTAAGCCAATTGTGGGAAAATACGCTAATCACAAAACCCTGGGGCTAAGACCACACTATTGAAATAGTTTAAATCTTATTGGATTTTATTTAAATCTTATTGGAACCCTCTATCTTATTGGAAAGAACCATTCCACATTTTCTTCAAAATTAAGTTAATCATGATATTTTAAATAATAAATATTTGAATAAGTAATTTTAATTCTATCATCATTTGAAAGTAAATTTATTTAAAATATGTTCTTTTAAAATGTCTGCTTGGGCTGGCTATTTTATATTTTATTGCATTTCTTAAGTTATTTCTGCTAAAATAACAGAAAGCCAATTGGGGAAAAATATTCATTTTATTCATTAACTTAGTTTTCATACTTCAAACTGAAATTTTATATCAATAAGAAACTTTAGGATATATATCACACATGAAAGTGGAAGGATCATTGTAATATTAAAAAATCTGAAAAAAAGAACTACTAAGCTATCAGATTTGAGAATCATATATAGCCAATATGGGTAATTCACCAACTGCAAAAAATTCTTTATCTTTTCCAGTCCTTTTTTCCTTAAAACCTCTTCTATGTAGATATCATCTTAATCTGATCTGCTTAGTTCCTCGACTGCAAAGAAGCCAAAATTTAAAACTTGATCAGAACCTGTGCCATTAGCATCCATCTGTAATAACAGTTCTATCTCTACCCGACATGGGTCTCACGTTGTCAGTCTGAAACTAAAGGACTGAGAATAGTAATCCTTAGAGACTCCTTCCAGTTTGAAAATGTTAAAACAGAACAAGTTCAAACATCAGATAAGTGATTGAAGAAATCAAACTTCTGATTCTGAGAATATACGATCCTAGCCTCAGGTCATTACAAGGGAGAATATAAACAAATAAATGTTTCTGTGGAATTTTCACTGACCCAATGGCAGAACCCAAACTAAAGCCTGCTTCTTAGTTTGCTTTCACATCTTGCAGTATGATTCAGAATTTTTAAGGCACTGTTGACAATATGGGATGCCTTACATTTAGCATATGACTGTGTGGGCTTTTTGCCTACATTTTGGCTACTTGGACATGACCATAATTACAGGAGTGATTCCTTAAGAGAGGCTAAGGAGTTGGCTTGGATACACCAGCCCTAGTTTTTCCCGAAGCCTTCAACAACACTTTTATCTATTTTTAAATTGCAGTTATTCATGCCAAAATAAAAGCTGTTCAGAGGAGTGGCTGTAATGAAGTAACGACAGTGGTGGATGTAAAAGAGATCTTCAAGTCCTCGTCACCCATCCCTCGAACTCAAGTCCCACTCATTACGAATTCTTCTTGCCAGTGCCCACACATCCTGCCCCATCAAGATGTTCTCATCATGTGTTACGAGTGGCGTTCAAGGTAAGCACAGAAGGCGCAGGAGAAACTATCTGCACACTGCTCACAAAAACATAATTCCCATTTAGCAGTTGTGGTTTCAAAAACAACGGTGCCAGTAGTTCTTTTTTAAAAGATAGTTTTAACAGATGCCTTTGTTGGACTATCACAAATATCAATTAATTCATCATAAAATGAAGGAAAAATAGGAATATGAGTATTTAAAAATGAAATCCTTAAAAATCAATTTTAGAATCCAAGCTGATTTCAAAACTTAATGAGCAAGTAAATTATTTTGAGTAAGAACAATTCTTTTCAAATCATTCAAACAATCTTAGTGTGGCAAATACTGTGTTTTTAATGGCCTCTTTATTAACTTACAGATTAAGTAAGTAGCCATTTGAGACTATGGTTTCCCATGTTTTCCTTATATACACTTCACAATATTTGCTTGATAGAGTATTGTATACACACACATACACATATAAGCTTTAAGGTGGCTTCGGAATCTAAGAATATGTGATTCTCAATCCAAATGATCGCAAAGCAAAGTATCAACAAATATATGCTTCACACACACTCGTACACATATACACGCGTATCTCCAGGTGGGAGTGTTTGTCTCCCCACTCCTCTTTCCTTATTGTCTTTACATATATTGGTACATTTTTTATAATATAAAGTCAAACTCTTCAGCCTAGGTTCCGGGATGGTCCTCATAACTTACTCAACGTACTTCTCTAGCAAAATCACTCATTTTTATAGAGTAAGTCATCTTTCATTCTCTGCTATTAATGTTCATCAGTTTCTTCTAGATATAGCCCAAGACCTCATTCCTTCAAAAAAAAATTTTTTTTTGGAAATAGCCTCACTTGAGTAATTTATTACTCTGTATTCTGTCAGTACTTGGGTACCCTCCTCACAGTGTAATGATGCCTTGTGTTCTTAGCTTTAAAGTCATTCCTCTGCTCATATCTTGTCTCTCTGTAATGGAACAATTAATGTTTCTGGGCTCATCTTCTACATGGTGTTTGTATCTGCTGCAATGCTAAATGCCATGGGGGATGTACCAGGTTACTAGTCCATAAATTCTATGTAAGAGATGAATGGATTATAAATCCATCCCAGTAAAAAATTTTTTCAGATGATCGGGATTTATGTATTCACAAATGATCCTAATGATCATTTAGAAAAACAAACCAGTTAAGGGCATGTAAAGGAGATTTTGAAAATAAAAGTGAGGAGGGGAAATCTGCCTCATGAGACCTGCAAAACTGATATAAAACTACACTTGTTAAAACCATGTGGCACAAAAGTAGATATATACATAAATAAAACGGGAAAAATTCTTGAAACAGATTCTAATGCATAAAAGAGCTTTTTTATTATGAAAGAAATATGACAAACCAATAGAAAACAAATGTATTATTTAGTAAATGTTGCAAATATTCTAATTTGGAAAAATGGTACATTTTATTCACTTTATACTGTACTACAAAATAAATTTCAAGTGGATTAAAGAGATAAATAATTTAAGAACATAATCAAAGAAGATAAGATTAGGTGACTGTGATATTTTAAAGGCAAAGTACTTTGTAAACATAAAAGTAATGTAAGAAATTACAAGGGAAAATATCTCTCTATATATCTGACTGCATAATATTGTGTATGCAAAAATCACAAGTAAAAATAGAAAGGCAACTAAAAATTGAGAAAAATATTTGTGATAAATATGACAAAGAAACAGTTATCTTCCTCTATAAAGAGTTCATACAAATTAATATTTAAAACACTGAGACCACGATATAGACATATATATGTATGTAAGTCTATACAGACAAGTTCCAGAAGAAATACAAATAGTAAAAAAAAATTTATAAAATTTACCACCTTAATTCCAAAATTGAAATAAAAACAAGATTCCATTTTTACCTAATTCTTACTGTTAGTGAATTGGATGAAAGTGCAACCATTTTGAAAACAACATGGCACTATGCATTGACAATCTTCAAAAAAAATACATATCTTTTATTCTACTTTCAGAAAACTCTCCTAAAGAAATAATAAGCCAGTGCACACTATTATATACCAGAATATTCAATGCAACACTAGTAGTAATAGCTGAACAAAAGGAAGAGTTCAACAGTATAGATATCTGGTTAAATATTTTATAGATGTCCATAGTTGTAATGCTATATTATTATTAAAATTAATTTTTGAATTATTATATTTATATCAGAAAATTCATGTAATATAATGATAAAAGGATATGTGCAGTATGATCTAAACATACAGTGTGATCTAAAAATATACATAGGTACAGGGAAGAATGAAAGGAAATACCAATATAAGTGGTAGATAGGTGAATTATGGGGTTAGTAATTATTGAAGATTTTTTTCTTACAATTTTCCAAGGTTTTAAACTTTTTGCTTTTATAATGAAAAGATGCTTATTAAGATAAGTTACTTTTTTTCAGGATGATGCTCCTTGAAAATTGCATAGTTGAAAAATGGAGAGATCAACTTAGTAAAAGATCCATAGTAAGTAAAACTAACAATACTGTGAATGTGGATGCTTTTAAAGGAATCCTATAGAATTTGGGAATTCTTCAGTCTTTCATCCCCAAACTTTTATAGGAGCCAGCAATAGCAACGGTATTTGTCTTTTGAGTAGGTGATTAAAAGTATAGCTATTCTCTCTCGGAAATTTTATCAGAAGCCTATTATTCAACTAAAAAGGTGATTTAGATATTCACTACTAATTTATTGATTATTTTCAGATTGAGTTCGATTTTTTTATTTCTTTTTTTAATTAATTAATTAATTTTATTTTTTTATTTTTTTGAGACAGAGTCTCGCTTTGTTGCCCAGGCTAGAGTGAGTGCCGTGGTGTCAGCCTAGCTCACAGCAACCTCAAACTCCTGGGCTCAAGCAATCCTGCTGCCTCAGCCTCCCGAGTAGCTGGGACTACAGGCATGCGCCGCCATGCCCGGCTAAGTTTTTCTATATATATTAGTTGGCCAATTAATTTCTTTCTATTTATAGTAGAGACGGGTCTCACTCTTGCTCAGGCTGGTTTCAAACTCCTGACCTCCAATAATCCACCTGCCTTGGCCTCTCAGAGTGCTAGGATTACAGGTGTGAGCCACCGTGCCGGGCCTTTTTTGTTTCTTTATTGCATTGCATTTAATTGTTTTAGTGAACTGTAAGATACTTTAGCAGAATTAATATCCACTGATATTAAAACCAACATGTAACTGTAGGGGTGTGAATATCTAGTTCTGAAACTCATACCATCACTATACACAGCAGAATCTTTTCCTGTATATAAAATAAGTTAAGATTTTTGTTAAAAAATCATATGCGAAAAGTAATTATTTTGTGGCCAAATCCTTAATTTAAGTGGTAACATCATAGAAATATTGGTAATTCAATTAGAGGAGTTAGAATAGTTTCTTGTCCAGAGATGTGAAATCATATCAGAACTAAAGACATCAGGTGATTGGTTTGAAGTTTTTAAAGCATCCGCTCTCCTGAAAATTTGTTTAGATATATTCAGGAAAATTCGTGTTTTCAAGTTCATAAAACATACTGCCATTGCCTGTGCTCTCTTAGTTTGCACTAATGAAAACTCTTGGGGAAGGAATAGTGTAGATTACTAATTGACTTGTGGAAAACGTAGTTACAACACAGTCTCCCCTACTCAGGGCATTTCTGAATAACAGAACCAGACACTGCTGGGTTAAATCTGAGCTTAAAAACTCCTGCTCGAACACTCATGAGCTGCTCAGGAGCTTGCTTAGTTTCACTAGACAGAAAATTCGAGCAGGATTGGTTATCTGGTTTCCATGACTACAAGCAGATTAGAAGCATCGATGGAGAAAGCAAGCCGACCCTAAGGCCTTGAGATTGCTGAGGGGAAAGAAAGCTTTCAAGATTCATAGCTGCTTGGACCATTAACTTTGGCAGCAAATATTCCAATATACTTCAGTAAGAATTTGAAAGTATCACCATATGGTAGCAACATATGGCAATGAGTCGATTATTTTAGAACAGACTAGAATTGTGCCCTAGGAGACTGGGGACTGTGTTTATCTTTTTGTTGCACTGCTCATGATAGAACAATACCTGGCCTGTGGTCATGCCCAAACTTTTTGCTAAATGAAATGTACTCCAACAAAGCAGGGACAGACATCTGTGTTATAATATAAAGCAGTGTCTACTCAACTGGACTCAATTTTTCGTTTGTTTCTTACATGAGCTAGCTATTTAAAGAATACACCCTTTGCTATCCAGGAAACTTGATTTTCCAGAATGAGTTATTTCCCATTGGTTCTGGGTAGCTAGTGCTTTGGTGGATTACTAAATGGGATTACTAGATGGGATTATTAGTGGATTACTAGGTGGGGCTTCTGCCTTCCCTTGGATGTGGGAGAATTAGGTGAACATGTAAAGTGTGGTAACAAACTCCTAACTTCCCAGTGAGGCTACATAAACTTCTGCTTTGGGCGGTGCCAGAGCCTTTTGGAAGGCCTTGCTGTGTAGGAATGTTGCCCTATAGAGACAGTGGTCGGAAATGCAGAGGTGAGGTCCTTAGTCTCTGGAGTTGGAGTGGGTGAATTTGAATCCTGGCTCTGACACCTACCAGCTCTGCAGCCTTCTGCAAATAACCTCTGTGTGCTCGTTTCCTAACACTGACAGTGGTGCCTACCTAGAAGGACTGATCTGAGTTTCAATGAGATGAATATATGCCAAGACTTCATCATATGCTGAGCACTTTCCAAATCACCCAGTACATGAGAAGTGCACCTCATAGGGTAGCTATTCTGATTGTTGTCATCGTCATGAGTCTATTACAGTGAAAAACTTGCCTTCATTCTGATATTCATTCAACAGCATGAAAGGGTGAGATCTATTTGATAGTCATGTTTACAAATTGCCTCCCAGCAGTGGGAAGAGAGGCTTCGGGAACAGCGGAGAATGACTCAGGACAAGAAGAAGACAGCTGGGCGCACCAGTCGCAGTAATCCCCCGAAACCGAAAGGAAAGCCACCTGCTCCCAAACCAGCCAGCCCCAAGAAGAACATTAAAGCTAGGAGTGCCCAAAAGAGAACAAATGTGAAAAAAGCATGAGCTGACTACTTTTCAAGATGGAGACTTCCGACTTCCTTCCAGCACGAGGTCGGGCACTGCCTGGGACAGCCTATGCAAGGCCACACGCCCCTTGCCTTAACAACTCACTGCCGTACTCTGCATAGACACATCTTGCAGCATTTTTCTTAATGATACGCTTCCATTTTTCCTTTTAAGTCACCACAGGCCTTAGTGGTAGGTTTGCCCTTTGGTATGGAAGGTGCGTTAAAGCTGGTGGAAAAAGCTTATTGCATTCATAGTAATCTGTGTGCATACTCTATGAGATCTCTGTGTGGGGAAAATATTGCTTTTTGACAATTTGACCTAATATGTGCATTGTAAAATAAATGCCATATTTCAAATAAAACATCTAATTTTTTTTACGACATATTTTATTTCTATTTGACTTCTGTTGTTACAATGTTAACGATGTTTTAAAATGTAATTGAAAATATAATTGCTTCTAAGGAGGAAAGCAAGGGGAATGAATATTTAAAAGATTTTGTGTTTACTGTCTGAAGAAGAATTTTTGTGTTGAAAAGGGATTTTTGAAAAATCAAGGTAAGTAACATATTGAAAATTGTAATGTGTTTTGTTTTTTTTTTACAAAGAAGACTTTGTGCTATATTTAGCTAGAAACTCTAAAAACTAAAGTAATAATAATGAAAAATAAATAAAAAAGACAGGCAGACAGACAACTTCTGGATTCTTGTTTTCTGGCTGCCATGCCAGGGTGGAGATGCTCTGATTTCATGATCACAATGCTTCCCCTCAATACTCTCTAAACAGCACCAGAATCAGTGAGTTCCTTTGTCCCATTGTGCTTTAGGTACAAATTAGCTGGTCAACTCTCAAGTATTTCACACCCACAACAAGAAAGGTGTGGACCCCATCTCATTTTCCAGGATATCCTAGTAACTTGACTGTCAAACCTTGAGAGAATTTTCCCCCTGCTGATTGCTGGTGCTCACAGCAGTGCAGTGGGGCCACGGTGGGAGGGCTGGGACTCTAAGGCAGGTTGCCAGCCTGCTGCCACGCCTCTGCCCTCCGACTAGAGAATGGAACTGAGAGCACTTGTTCCACTCAGCATGCATGGAAGTAGCAGAACAATCTGAAAGCTTTGGATGATGTCTCCTTTAGCTTTTCCATCATCCCTGCTTTCAGAGAAGGGGTAAGTTATGTGTTGCATCCACACAAGATAATTAAACAGATGATTTAATGTCGTCTCTGTAGTCATTAGGATACAGAAGTGAGGTGTGAGGGTAAGCCAGGGGAGAGTGGACAAGTTGGGCTAATGAGAAGCTGGTGCATGCACTCACCTCCTCCTGAAAGCTTTACTTTGCCTGCATTACTAACCTTGGGTGGTAGAGTTAAAGGAACCCAGGACCTACACGGGGTTATCAATAAAATGCTCAGTGTGTGACCTTGCAGTATAAAAGCCAAACCTCTTTGCCCTTAAGCAAAACCAGGTAGGTGTTTCAGATAACATCCAACCTCAATAATCCTTGGAAAAGCCATTAAAAGGCAGCCATAGCCTAGCTTACTTCCTTAACACAGAAGGGATTCTTTGGGGAAGGGGAGTTAGAAATGGAAATTTCCATAAAAAATAGAAAAATAGTTATATGAAAAAAAATTAAGTGCAAAACTAAAAATAATAAGAGTTTGGATATGACTTTACAAATTTAAGCAACATTTTCTTTGAATATTTAACTGAAATTATATACTGCATGTTATACAAAAATTTAACTAAGTGAGCCAATTTATCAGTTAAACTGATAAAAGATTAACCATACTTCTGTTCAGTTATCTGTCATCAAAAAACTGAAAATGTTCAGCAGCCCATACTGAGAGTACCGCCACATGCATGGGAGGCCTTCCTGAGAGTGCCAAACATTTGCTTTTCTCACTTAAATATTTTCTTCACCTGAATGAATACATGTGAGAGAAGATAAATAGATGGAGAAAAGACTTGAGGTTCCATCTCTTAAATGGAAATTATTTGAGAGTTGGGATACCTTAATAAAAAAAACCTTATTTTGTAATATTTTATCACCAAATTTTATAATTGTGGGCAACAGGAAGCATTTCTTTTTTGGAAAACAATTTCGTTGGTCTTTTGCTAACACAATCCACATGTATTCTCTACAAAGCATTCCATAAATGCACAAAATTGTAAAGATGTAATTAAAGTCCTACCTAATCCCACTTACCACTGCACGAAGTAATCACTATTGGTATTTTGCCATATAATTCTCCAGGTGTCTCTTATGCATTTGTATAATGCTTTGAAAAAATAAAAGTAGAGGCCTACTATACAAACTGTTTCATAATCTGCCTCCTTCACTCAGCTCTTTGTTGAGATTAGTTTTCACATCAAGAAAGCTGATACCACCTCATTTATAATGGTTGTGTTGTATTTCATAGTACGCATTACTCAACAAACCCGTCTTCACTTGGGCATTTATGTTGTGTCTTAACTGAACATACTGAATAACTGAATAAACATCTCAATAGCCAAGCAACTGTGCATATATTTAATTAGTGCCTTGGGATAAGTTCATTTGCATGGCATTGTTGGGCCAGGGAGTGCACTCAGCAAGGATCATTCGTGATCACATTGTCAATTATGTCCCAGAATGCTTGGACCATGGGTATAAGACAGTGCTGATGTTCCCACTTCTCACCAAGATTGTTTCTCCCTCGTGTTTTTTGTTTTAAGTTTGGAACTGATGGCCACCTTGGATGAACCCCCTTCCCTCATCTGTGAGCCATCGGCCAACAACATTCTCAACACTTCCGACACTCCAGGCAGCTGGGGAAGTGAATGATTGAGCACCTCAAAAGAGGCATATTAAGTACAAACATGGACAGATAGATAGATAATTAGGTAAATAGGTAGAGAGATTTCTTGTCTGCTTGGAAAAGCCTAGGCAACATCCCCAATTTTTTTTAATGAATCAAATTTAATAATACAGCCAGTTAACTAGAGAAATGAAGAATTAGAGTACAGCAGAGCTTCCAGTAGATTTTCTCTGCCCAGCCCCCTTTTTAAGATACGAGCAAATTTATATAAACAGCTTTAGTTCTTACTTTCCAGTTCTAAACCAATGCAGTCTGACGACACATAGGGTTTCTCTCTTTGTATGCCTGTAAAATTGTCTATTATAATATATCCTTCCCACAAAACCCCTTGACTTGTATTAGCTTGAGGGTGTTTCTATTCAGGAGAACCAGTCCTTGAGTGAAAAAAAAGGGCACAATTTTACTACAAGTTTCTACCTGCTGTTAGCACAAATGCAAAAAGCAAGAATGGTTATTTAGAATCATGCAACAGTTGAAGGAGACCTGAGAAGTCATGATCTAGCTTGTTGGAGAAAGGCTTGTCTGATGTCTCCCCCACAGTTAGAGAAAGATCTGGGCCCCCAGAGTCCATGAATTTTAATTTGCCAGGCCACAGTGTGCTGACTTTTTTGGTAACATAATCTGGGCTGTTAGAGGAAATATTCATTTAATCACCACAGAAAGAGCAATAGAAGAAGAAATTTCTGCTTCTGGTTATGGCCTGATATATGCTGATACTGACCATATTTCCTAGTAGAAAATACTTTTTGAAAAGCATTTTAACCTCAGAGATGTATTAAGTCATAGTGAAAGGCATGAAAACCAAAAATTTTAGTTAATTTTCACCTTTGTGATTTAACTGATAAGGAAGCAGTTTGTGTTCTCCAGATAAATGGCAAACATGGGTTGGGGTATCTACTTTAATATCAGGACCCCAAAAGAGACACTGGACTCTAGAATAGCAATGAAATATCCCCCCTTTTATTCAAACAATAGAGATAAGCAAAAAGAAAAAATGAAAACAAAAGTACTCAAAATGTCAAAATAGTTACCCCAAATGTTGATATTAGCATTTTGGTGTGAATCTTTCCAGACTTTCTCCCTGTTTTGGTGTATGAATTTAATAACACAGCATGAAAATTACTCCAAGTAAAGAAATACAACTATTTGTAAATGCTGAATTCTAGGCTCTGACAATCATTGTCAACAAAAGATCAAGCTGCAAATATTTATGTTTTAAAACTTAAATTATAAACCTAGTTAAATCTTTCTAACAACTAGTTTAATGTTCACAGCTACATTTTGACTAAGTTACAGTTTACATTATATAGATAAAGATTCGTCTTAAGCACAGATTGGATACTGGGAATCCATTTGGGGATGAGGTTTTTGTGGATTCCTTCATACTGCAAAAAAAAAAATTGCATTCTGTGGAATTGAACTAATTTTTAATCTGGTCTTTAAAACTAGAATAATAAAATAATTTAAAAAATATGAAGGAAATTAAGCCCCTTATTATTAAATTGATTTGTAAAAGCATTGTTACTGGAAATGGATTGGGACTTAAGGCTTTTCTTCCAGAAAATAATGACTTGATTGTCAGGCCTATATTAGGTTCTGAACCTTAATGCCATGTATTTGTACTTACTAAAAATCATTTCAATAAAAAGTATATTAGCAATATGAACTTCTGGTCCACTTTGAAGTTCCTCCATTTGAAAAATGTGTTATTTGCATGGAACTGTTTGAATCTTTTTATATTCTAGTCCCTTCTCCTTCCCACTGGATAGAATTGAAGCTAGAATTTTCCCTTTTGATAAAGGAGCAAAAAATGAACGTGTATTTGTAAATTGATGTTTAGTAACTAGTAATAAACTTGAAATACTAGAATACAGTATAAGCCTTAATCCTAGGCAGTCTTATGAAAATGAATCTGTTAACTATCTTTTGAACCTATATTCACATTGGTTTTCAAGATATTTTAAGTTGTATTTTTCTTCTTTTATTCAGAGCTGCTTATTTTGGGGATACTTTTGTTTATTGAGGCATAATTGTAATTCACAAGGGGCTGCATTTTTTTTTTTTTTTTTTTTTTTTTTTTGAGACAGAGTCTCGCTTTGTTGTCCAGGCTAGAGTGAGTGCCGTGGCGTCAGCCTAGCTCACAGCAACCTCAAACTCCTGGGCTCGAGCGATCCTTCTGCCTCAGCCTCCCGAGTAGCTGGGACTACAGGCATGCACCACCATGCCCGGCTAATTTTTTATATATATATCAGTTGGCCAATTAATTTCTTTCTATTTATAGTAGAGACGGGGTCTCGCTCTTGCTCAGGCTGGTTTTGAACTCCTGACCTTGAGCAATCCGCCCGCCTCGGCCTCCCAAGAGCTAGGATTACAGGCGTGAGCCACCGCGCCCGGCCTGCATTTTTTTTTGATAAGTCTTATAACTATAGCTGGATGTTTTGCTTTAGTCTTCCAAGAAAGGGCTATTTTATTTTTTTAAGAGTCACTTCTTTCTTTTTATTTTTAAATATTTATTATTTTTTATATTTTCTTTATTCTTTATTTTCTTATTTCTTTTACACAAACCTAGTGGGACTATTTGGATCTTAAGAGTCACTTCTAAAGTCATGTGGTCATTAACTTTGGAGACTATTTTGCATATGAGTGCTGATATAAATTAAAACCCGAGTAGACCTCATTGCATGTACCCCTCATTGCATGAATGTTGACAATGGAAGGAATATCTTGCCTGTAGTATACTGTCAATTCTGGACTGAAAAGCTGGGGCAGAAACTTAATTTTCTTCTTTTTTGCATAAGTCAGAAAAACATACAGCTACTTGCTGAGTTTCCTTGTTGACCTCAGCAGATGAAGTGAGCTGATAGTGTTAATTCAGATTGAAGAAATTATCTGAATCTTGGTGTGTGTAGATTTTCCATCTACATGCAATATTAACTAAATCAGATAGCTTTTACTGTTCCACATGTGTACGTAGGCTCCCACCCCCTTCCACATCCATGAGTTATTGTACTTTGTAAAGTGGCATTGAAACATTACAACAATGTTTTTGTTGCACCAATTTATAAACTTATACAGTGCAATATGTGTTATTTCTCTGAGGCAAACCAAAGGTAAATTTCTCAAAGTTCTTGCTGCCGCCTTTAGCAGCCTTTGATGGATCTTTTATACATTTGTATTAGATGAAAATAAACCAGATTGCAAATCCTTTTTTTAAAATTTTAAACCATGTACCAAGTTTTTGGTCCAAATTGTGTAGGATAAGTTAAACTTAAATTGCATTCTATTAACCAATATGAGTGTATTTTTATAAGCATAGTTATATTGAAATAAAGTTTTTTTTTAAAAAAAAAGAAAAATACAATTGTATTTTATTTTTCACAGCTGCATGTTGTGGATGTATCTGAGTTTATTTTACCAGTAACTTGTGAGAAAAAACTTTTAAATGTGGTTCCCAAGGTATGCCAGGGTAGGACAGATTTTTGTGACACAAAAAATTTCCCACTATTGCTGAATTTTCAAGTCCATAAAAAATAGGCACAAAATAGTGCAAGGCAGAAATGTTTCCTTTATTTTGTCTAATAAACGTGTGTTACTTTTATAAGATACTACAAAAATATTTTCAGAGAGAGACACAGAATGTCTCTACATGAAACCCATGTAGACATGCATATCTGAAAACTATCCCCTTGATCATATGACTGTCATAAAAATATTAACTTTTGACCACTACATTTTCCCGCATAATCTACAAAGTGGTGTTAAGCTGTTGCTCTGTCTCTGTCAGTTTCTGTAATCGGCAGCAATCCACTATTTGAATCCCTAAACCCCAAAGACTTTCCAGTCTTCATGCTTTTTTAATGTCTTTTTAATTTTAAATTTATTGAAAGGAGACTATGCTGGTCATAAACTACAGATCTTACAGTATTTATTTGCTTTGATACCTAAGAGAAATCTCTTCCTACTATAATGTAAGAAAACTTGTGAAGAGATAATTAATGGCAGTAAAAGAGCCCACAATGTGTGATTTTTGCCCGGATAGTTCAGACAGTATAAGTCTAATATATTATTGCAATATTTTAGTGAGAACCGTTTTATAACTAAATAATTCTATAATATGCAGCTGCAGTATCTAGATGAGAACTTTATCATGGCCAGAGTGGTTCACTTTAGTGACATACTTTAAAAAAGGAAAAAAACATACTATATTAGAAATTAAATTTAGGTAACAGGGAGGACTCATAATCAGAGGGCTGTTCCCAAATCTCACACAATTGTGACACCTTGAATAATATAATGAGCCTAAGGAACTGAGGTTAAGTAAAAAATGGTATTATGAATAAAATTCCATCCTAGTACCAAGTGATAACTAAAATACCACTGTTGGATCAAATTAAATTCATTAACATTGTTTATTCTTCCAATAATTTCAACTATTTATTATGTCACTGAAGTATTTCAGCAGCTAAAAATCACATGAACAAGTGCTGAGTCAACTTTCTCCCTTTTTGGAAAGCATAGAACATCTGGCTTTGGAGGTCAACCAAAGTAGCTTCCAGTGGGTGAGCAAGTTCAGACAGAGTGTAGGCAGGCATCAATGTCAGAGGGTCCCCCCGTCAGTGAGTAGAAAGGGTACCAAGACTGTCCAACTTGAGGGCCCCCAGATATAGCGTAGTTTACAAAATCTGTCCATTTTCTGCAGGGCATCTGCTTATAGGGAACAGGATCCAGGAAAAAAGTGCTGGAAAGTATTAGGCTGTAGTTAAGCATGCTTCAGGAGTCTTGTCTTGAAAGGGGGCTGGAGGGACTAAGTGGGGCCATCAAAGAGACTCTGCCTTCAAGGCTGAGATGCAGGACCAAGCCAGTACTAAGGATGGGGGCTGCTGTCTCTTGGGGGATTCATGAAGATGCAGAGCTCATCCTCAGCTCTGTCTGGCTGTTGAGATAGAAGCGCTTCCTGCACAAGTGTCCCACGGCCCACATTCTGAGCCTATCCCTGTATTTGGAGCCATGTCCCCACCATCATGTGCATTGGAGCTCCAAGCTGTGCCCACTGATTTTGCAGTCCTCACTTGCCTCCACCACAATGGCCCAAGACATGCCTTTTCTGCCTAAGTCCAGCTGGAATTCAAGACCAGCCCTCTTAGCTGTGGCCCTGATGACTTTGTAGCCTTTTCTAACCTTTCTTCTCCAGGGACGAGAAGATATTTCCAGGTACTGCCAGCTCTAGTCCACACATGCCTGTCTTGCACTGCCATGTCTTATCCACTAGATTCAATCCCTCCACACCAGACTAACACAAATTGAAGCTTAATTAAATATATCTCTTTGGACATTGCTTATTTCATGATTTCTGGTTTCTTACCTGGATTCAAAAGAAATGACCTTTCTTTATGTCTTGCATATGAAATCTGTACAGATCTTTAAACATATGCACACAACTAAGCGTAGCTTGCCATCTGCTGGTGAAATACAATATTATGTTTAAGAGAGGTTGTTTCAATACCTTTGAAGATCTGGATGGTTCTTGAGGCAGTAACAGCATGCCACTTAACACAAGTGCATTATGAACACTTGAATACTATCAGGCCATGCAAAGCAGTAGATAATTGTATTAAATCTGAAGTAGGAGGGAAGGTGAAAAAAGTGAGGAAAATGAAGATTTTTGCTATCCTTATTTCTTTGCACAATCCTAAGAAAGTCAATAATTGATTTACCTTACATTTAGAAAAATGCATTCTGAAGAAAAATTTGAGAAATATCCTTAATGATAATTCCCATGTATGTAATTAGATTTTGTATAATTTAATACAGTTCACAGGCATGCCTCTCAAACATAGTGTCGGAACACTTGAGTATTGAAGTAGGTGATCTGTCACTAATGTTAAACGATCGAAGCTTACGAGTGTCTTAATATTATTAATATTACAGTTTAGAAATTATATTGGAAAGTTAATCACTCAACAACATCATTGTCACTCTCTGCGATCCAACATGTTCTCCTGAGTGGAATGAAAAGGAGGATGTCTCAGCTCACATGCTGGGAATCACATACAACCCTGGCTAAGAGTCTATCACTGCAGGAAATATCATTCAAATTACATCCTGAGAGAGAGAGAAAAAAAAGAGGCAAAAACAATAAACATTTTGGCTTATGGCTGTCTCCTATCTCCCCAGAGATATTTGCACTACCTTGCCATTTCCCTATCTTACTAGCTAGGTACCCGACCTGCACTGTCCTGCAGTTTGCAAATTGTGTAAATCTATATGTCACCTTTTCGGAGTTTTTTGCTTAAAAGTTCAGAGTTTTTTTTGACCAACTTCTAAATATACATTAGTGCCGTGCAGTGTGCATTTGTATAAAACTCTACTCCTGGCTTTCTTTGACCTACCCCACTCTCTTCAGCCCCATGGTCCATGGTCCACCCCAGCTATTTTGTTGCATCTTGTGTGCATTTATATATGCCACCTTAAGTCCTTGCTGGAAGACAAGGTTAAAAATAAACATCAAGATTTGTTTGGAGATTATTTTATTATTATTATTATGCATAGTCATGCATTTTTAAAAAATATTCTGGTGAGTTTTCTTCCAAATAATGTCTTTCTTATTATTCCTCCCAGGAAGCTGTGCCACATGATTATATGTTGAGTTGAACTCATGCATTATTTCTCAAAGTTCTAGGAAAAGAAAGAGTACACTTAATAAAATAAATGACAATGCTATGTACTAATTTTCAAGCAGTTATTAGTTTCCATATTGGAGTCCTGCACAGCAATCACAGAGCTTGGGAGATGGGCCCTTTTCTTTATCTAGACACTGCCCAACTCGGCAAACAAGCAATCCACAAAGATATACAAAGAGTTGGTGATCAAACTCTTGTGACAGGTTAAAATATGAACTTAATGAGTAACCATAGCTTTCTACCCAAGCTGCTCAAGGATTCAAAATTGCCGGTTAAGCCCAAGGTAAGGAAGAGAATTGGAAGGGGCCGAAAAGGACGAGACTGAGAGTGCAGGTCTATCTGAACACAGTGCAGAGACTGGTGTGTGTGTGTGTGTGTGTGTGTGTGTGTGTGTGTGTGTGTGTGTGTGTTTGGGGTGAGGGGCTTATCTATGGAAGCACTGCAGGGCACAGGGGGACTCTGAGGACAGAGATGCCCAAGTAAGAGTTTTGAGACTTTATTGTTGTTATATATCTATATCTATCTATATATATGTATATTATATATTTTTTTCTGTAAAAGAAATATTTTATTTGCCAGCTGTTCAAGAACTTTACTGCAGGTTTACTTTTATTTAAGAATTTAAAAAGTGTTTTAAGACTAGACTAATTTTAGATCATTTTGGGAGGGGTTTTGGAGAGAGCTCTGTTACAAGGGACCGTTCTTCCTTATTTTGCTTTATTTTTTTCTCTTTTTAAAAATCATGGCACTATATATATTTATATTATACAATTCACCATTGCAACCATTGAAGTGTACACATCAATGGTATTAGCTGCATTTACATTGTTTGCAACCATCATTACAAACTATTTCCAAAATATTTCATCCTCCTAAACAGAAATCTGTACCCTTTAAGCAATAGCTTCCAATTTTGCCAGCCCCTAACAACCTCCAATCTACTTTCTGTCTCTATAATTGCCTATTGTGGGTTGATCATATAAAGGGAATCATGAAATATTTGTCATTTTATGTCTGTTTTTTTTTCATTTAGCAAAATGTTTTCAAGACTCATCCATGTTGTAGTTATGTATCAACATTCTATTCCTTTTAATAGCTAAATAATGTTCCATTGTAAGTGTATACCACATTTTGTTCATTCTTCCTTCTAATAATGGACATTTGGGTTGTTTCTGCCTTCTGGCTATTGTGAATAATTTTTCTATAAACATTAGTGCACAAGCATAGGTTTGAGTCACTGTTTTCAATTCTCTTGGTGTAGAACTGCTGGTTCAAATGGTGATTCTGTGTTTAACCCTTTGAAGAACTGCCAAACGATTTTCCACTGCAGATGCACTATTTTGCATTCGCACCAGCCCCAGGCGGCAAGGGGTTTTTCAATCACTGTATAGTGTTTCCAAGCAAGGCCCATTGCAGTTCCCCGCTGAGTGGTTTCCAGGTTGGGTGCAACTGCGATGAATGCCTTGTTCAGGCAGCCTCCAGAATGGTTAAAACAGACAAACACGGTCATTTGTGAACCGGATCTGCTCTATTCTCTCTGGAACCACAGATTGGGGTCACACACCGGGAATGCTGGCTGCCATCCCCAGGACTGTCACCAAGCTTGAGAAGTCGGACAAGAGCTAGTAAAAATGCCACACCAATGGGCTTTCATACCATTTTCAAGTTGCCTTTGTGTTGACACAGCATTCTTTTGGTCACTCTAAACCTTTGAACATTTTCCAGAGTTCTGACAAAGTTGCTGCTGACAGTGCCCCTGTGGAGGAATGGGGGCGTGGAGCTGCCTCCCCCACCATCTTGCTGACGTCACGCCCACGCAGGATTCATAACTTGTCTGCTTCGAGAGTCTGATTTACAACCAATTCAAATGTCTTCTTCCCAGCACACCCCAAACACAACTCATGGTGTTTCCTTCTAACCTGCTTCTCTCTCCTTCACATGTCTGGGAATGGTTAGATCATATTCTCATTACTCAAGCCAGGAAGCTTCATCTCTTCCTACATTTGGTAGAGTGGTAGTCAGTCCGTCTAGTCCTGCAGATGCGATGCAATCTTCTAAGAATCATCTGATCATTCCACTTACCACTAAGCTCGCTGCTTCTACACTAGTCCAGCCTTCTGTCATATGTCACTTCGGTTACTGCAGTGCTTCCTGCCTGGATAGCGTGCATCTCACATTCCCTCTTTCCACTTCCTAAGTACATCTGCCCAAATCACTCACACTTGCCCCTGGGAACCCCAAAACACACGCTCATTTGCTGTTCCCTGCTCTTAGAGTCATAAGTTCCTTTAGGACAAGGACTGTGTATATCCAGCCCCACAACAGTGTCCAGCATATAGCAAGGGCTGAACAAATGAACCTTGAATGTCTGAAACATACTAGTCCTCAGCCCTCACAGTGCTATGACACACTGTAGTATACGTAGTAAGACAGAAATCAGCAAAATGTCTATACGTATAAGCATCAAGATATGTGTGTGTATTAATATTCAGAAACCATAAAAACTGGCTTCTGTTTCTTGCTTCCTTATCTTTGATTTTAAAAGCCTGCTCATTTTTCGAGGTCTATTCCATTTCTTACTTTCTCCAGCTCCTAACTACTAAAAATAATATATACTTGCCAACTCAGCACTACATTTTACACTAATTTAAAATCCCCTATATCAATCACAGTGCCCTCCCCCCACAAAAGAGAAGGATATACAGATGTTAGAAAAGAGACTCATTGTTAACAGAAGCTATAAACAGAGTACAGCCCTACAGACAGTCCCCACCACCCAGCCATTCATTGCTGACGTGCTTAGTAATGTGCCGTCTTATCGTGGCTATGATTAGATACTATGTGAGTTTTGTCACCCTATTAGATTTGCATTTTCCCTGAAGGTAATGACCTTCATTCAACCAGTTTTATATCAGTCATAGTTCAAGAAGGGATACAGTACATATTTTCCCAACATGAATGTTCACCAGTTGTGCAGTCATGACTTGGACTATATTTGAGTCAGACTTCTGGAACAAGCTGTATTATACCAGAACTTACTTTTTATTTATACATCTGATATTTCAGCATAGTGTTCTTATACCTGGAGAAATCATAGCTCAAATGTTATATAACAACATGAAGGGAACAATGAACTCTTTTCTCCTGAGGAGTCTTGTTGGGTATGGGATTGCGGGGGTGAGGGAGGGCCTCTCCATTTCACAGAGCTTTTTCTTTATGCTATGGAAACTGATTCTCAGTATGGCTCCTGCAGGTGGGGACAACACTCCACACATGGAAGGACTGTACAGTCATATTCAGGTCGGCAGGCAGAGCCATCTGGTGGACATTTGTGGCTGCTCTTTGAAAATAAAGCAAGCAGGTTTGATAGGAAAAGTGGCCCATCTTGCACTCCATCTCCCACATTACTTAGTAAACAAGGAAACTTAAAGCACATTCAGGTGTGGTGGCTCACGCCTGTAATCCTAGCACGCTGCAAGGCCAAGGCGGGAGGATCCCTTGAGCTCAGGAGTTCGAGACCAGGTGAGCAACAGCAAGACCACATCTCTACTAAAAATAATTATCCAGGCATCATGACACACACCTGTAGTCCTAGATACTTGGTAGGCTGGGGTAGGAGTTTGAGACTAGCTAGAGCAAGAGTCAGACCGTGTCTCTACTAAAAATAGAAAAATTAGCCAGGCATCATGGTACATGACTATAGTCCCAGATACTTGGGAGGCTGGGGCAGGAGGATTGCTTGAGCCCAGGAATTTGAGGTTGCAGTGAGCTATGATGACACCACTGCACTATACCCAGGGCAACAGAATGAGACTTTTTCTCAAAAGGAAAAAAAATAATAATAATAAAAAGCATATGCATATTATGTAGCCACTTCTACCCAATAAGTATCTCTTTGCCAAGGAATAGAAATTATTTCTTTTTATTCTATGATTTCTATGATTCTACACTATAACACCATCATATATCACCCAGTGGTAGTTAGTAAGTTCCATGTTTCCAAATACTTAGATACTGAGAGTTCAGGCCACTGAATGAGACTTTGGCCATTCAGAGTGGGGGAGTGGGAAGCAGTCAAGGAGAGGCACTGCATGAGGCCTTTGGAGTCATGGCAGATGACACAACAGCCTAGGACCAAGGCTTGCAAACCCAGGGGTACCTGGCTCGCCCACTGTCTCCATCCCTGCAGCCTGGGTGCGCCACATGCAACCAGAATCCACCAGGTCACCATCATCTACAATGCTCAGCTTGGAGGCTGTGAGGCTGCTACGCAACAGCACAATGTGTTGGGCAGGAAATAAAGTTTGATTCAGTAACATGGGGAAAGTTCTGCTCTTTTCAGATGGGCTTGTCCTAGGCTCATTCAGTGTTACCAAAGGGAAGGGAAGGGAAGGGAAGGGAAGGGAAGGGAAGGGAAGGGAAGGGAAGGGAAGGGAAGGGAAGGGAAGGGAAGGGAGTTAAAGAAGCATATACCTCATAGTACGTACTTTAGTTTTCCTCAGGATTCTCAGAAACAAACTCGTCAAAGATTTTACCAATGATCTCTGTTGCATCATAAACATTAGATGATCCGTGGACTATATTTTTCAAAATATTTATTCCAAATCGGGCTCGGATAGAATCTGGAGACAGCAGTTTTGCTTCTTCTGGGTCTACTGGGCCCATCAAATGTCTCCACTCTGCAGTAGCATTCCACTTGGTCAGAACCATGACCAGAGAGGGACCCCTGCAAGGAATGACACTTTCAGAAGACATGGGCGCCTGACAACATAGAGACTGCAAACATGGCTAAGGAAGGATGTCACAGCTTGGGTCAGGGAGTGCCTCTTTATTCTTTGTCCTTTGTGGTGTCATTTTGTGCTTTTCTTTTTTTTTTCTTTTTATTTCTCCCTCTTCCAAAAGATTTTTGTGTTAATTGAGTGCTGTAGTTTAATTCTAGGGAATATTTGTCAATGGAGTCCTGTTATTTTTGCTACTTTGGGGTCTATAGATAGAGCCATTGTTGTGGACCCAGGACTTCCTGCTTCATGGTGGTCCTTCAGGCATTGCCTCCACCTCAGGGAGCTGCCTTGCTCAGGCCACCCTCATTCCAATGACTGACCAGTGTGAGGGTACAAAGGCTTGGCCATCTTGGATACTATGGGACAGCTCTGAGGGACCAGTCTAGCTTTGGACAGCACAAGCTGTTGTGTGGCCTGCAACTGCACTGTGACCCCTCCTTCTTCCCCATCCTGCTTCTTTGTCCCCTCTTCCTTGTGGCACCCTTAGTCAGTAGCCTGAACACTAAGCTCTGTCTGCTGTCTGGGAAATGCAACCTGTGGCAGGCATGAAAGTTAGCTTGTTCTCTAAGCTGTCATGGTGCAGGTACCTAAAGTCCCTAAGCTTTTGTTTATTATTAGTATCTAATTACCACTTATATTGCATTCAATCTTTGGTTTCAACTCTATAAGTTTTGCCTTTCAAGACTCATTGAAAAATGGTCAGGAACTGAAAAGGAAAGGCATGCATTTAAAGAGGTTTCTTATGTATAGTCATGTGTTGCTTAACATCGAGCATACATTCTGAGAAATGCATTGTCAGACAAACATCATAGAGTATACTTACACAAAGCCCAATGGTGTAGCCTACTATATGCCTAGGCTATATGGCACAGCCTATTGCTCCTATGGTACAGCCTATTGGCTACAAACCCGTACTGTACTGAATGTCATAAGCCACTGTAACACAGTGGTAAGCATTTGTGTATCTAAACAGATCTAAACACAGAAAAGATAATGTATTGTGCTACTAGGTTATGATGGCTCTGACATCACTAGGGGATAGGATAGGAATTTTTCAGCTCATCATAACCTTGCAGGACCACCTGTCATATACATAGTCCATCATTGACTGCAATATCATTATGCAGCGCATGACTGTTTTTGTACAAAATTTTATGTATAACTTAATGTATGTAAAATAGCAAATAAAAATTTTTTAACCAGGAGCAAATTTTTAAGGGTGTTCAAATAATTATGAACTCTATGTAAAAGAGAGTTCTGGGAGGCAGCAGTTAAGAACACAGACTCCCCAGGCTCAGACCCAAGCCAAGCACAAGCTTTGTGAGCATGGACAAATTCCACCCCTGGGCCTCTGTTGCCCCACAACCAAAGTGGACATTCTAGTGGAAAAACTACTTCAGAGTTGTTATTATAAGAAGTCAAATGAGGTAAAGTGTATATACTGGTATATAGCTCATCACAAGGAGTGGAATTAAGTAACCACTCAATATATGTTAGCTTTTAATGCCTACGCAGTGGTTATAAAGGTCTGCGTTGTCAGGAACAGATCCATAATGTGGAAGGGGAATGTGCCAAAACAGTGTATTTAGTATCATGTGACTTATGTTATTGCGTACACATAAAGAGTTTGACAAGGTATCTACACATGTGAAAGAAAGATGGGAATAATGACAGCTAGCATTTATTGAGTGCTTAATACATGCCATGCACTATTCCAGGTACTTGCAATGTATCACTTACTCAGCCTCACAACAAACCTGTGAGGTCGGTAGCATTATTTTCCCCACTCTGCTGAGTAGGAGACTTAGGCACAGAGTAAGTATGTTGGTAAAGCAGGGATTTAAACCCAGACGGCCTCTATATCTAATGTGAAGACCTAGAAACAGGAAGGAAGGAGGGAAGGTAAGAAAGAAGTAAGAAGAGAGAAGAAGATAGGGAGGGTGGGAGGGAAGGAAATGGAAAAAAAGGAACCCCAAATGTTAACAGAGTATCTTTTCATGAATGAGATTAGATGGAACGTTTTAATTAATTTCTGTATTTTTCAAAGTTTCTGTAATAAACATTTACTCCTTTTATAATACAAAGAACTGTATACCAGACACTTACTCGGCTAACATTTCCAATACATCTTTATAAAAGGGTTTTCCTGTTATTTTTGCATAAATCTTATTTGCTCGCTCTTCAGTTAGGAGCATTTCCTTCGCCTGTGTCAGCTCGAATCCAGCCTCCTTGATAATCTTCAGAATCTCCTCTAGGGAAAACAGATATTTGGTAATCTTGCAGATCTCTTCCCTTTTACTCCACATTCAAGTAGATTGAAACAACTAATGAAAACAATAGTTTTACTTGCATACTGTGCCTTAAAAAATAAAAAAAAAACTATGCTAAACTAAATCAAACTTCAAAAGCACCAAATTGACACTCAGATGAACTTTTAATATGTTAATGTACATATTCAGTCTCTGAGATCCACCTTTCCAGAAACCACCTCTAACAGCTAGTGGGCTATAAAAGGAGAGGGGAAAGGATCTGCTCTCAAGCTAAGAATGAAAACATGTTTTCACCTCCCATGCTAGGAATGCCAAGGAATGTCTTGCTAGATATGGATTGTAATGGAGAACCAAACTGAACTCTTCTCCCTGAAGAATCAGGGTACCACTGAAGGAATTAAACAGAGCACAGCTTGTCAAAATCTCACCAGTGGTCTAAATGTGGAAGACTATATTCTGAAGACGAAGGTGAGCCAACTGAGAGATTGGAAGCTCTCTAGTGAAACAGCCTCTTCTTTGCTCCAGAACAAAAGCATTTAGAAGTGCTAGGCTACAGGCAAGTGTGAGAAAGTGTGATCACAGCTAACGGAAAGCCTGGAGAAAACTGGACTTCTCCTGCTAGAAAGGAGGTGGCCAGGATCTGCTTTCAGACAGACAACACAGAAACAAATGTGAATTGAATGTAAACACTTCTCCAATATTAACTGCCTCGTGAGATCGCCAGGCCTGTCCATGAATCAGGAGAAGGTGATCATTATTATGAGTACAAAGAGTAATATGTAAGCTTCCTGGAATCACGGCAGAGAAAACTATTAACTTTCTCTGGGGAGGTAAGCGATGGCTTCTCAGAGATGTTGAATTTTGTGTTAAGCATGGAAAAAATGAGATATGATCACCAAGCAGATAAGTAGGAAAAGGACATTGCAGGCAGGGAGAGCAATGTATGCCAAGTTCAGAGGGGCGAAAGAAAGTGACTGGGTGAAAACTTATTGGAAAGGAAGTTAGCCAGGTAAATAAAGAAAGGGTTATAAAGAGCTATACCTCATGAAGATATGTGGACTTTCCCCTAAGTACTGAGAAGAAATACATTCAGATTTGTATTCTAGAAAGGTCATTTCCTTTGCAGTATGAAGAACTAATTAAGGTGGGTGTGGGTGGATGTGGCATTGGAAGCAAAGTATTTGAACACTAATGCAGTTTTTGGAAGGCACTGCTCAGGAGAAGGAGGAATTACGGAAAAGAAGAGTCTCTTGTAATACTTGGGGACAGGAAGCAAGTGGCTGAGGTTAATGTTCTAGATAAACAAAGAGCATTGTATAAATAGAAACAGATCTACCCCCAGCCAAGGCCCTACCTGTCACAGAAACTACTGCATTATACAAAACCAAGAGAACATTCAGAACTGAGAAACTGAGTAAGCTAACTCAAACCCTCATAAATCTTTGCTAAACTACTATAAAGGTAAAATCAAGTTATTCTGCTGAATAAAAAGATTTTTTTGTTCCCCTTAAAAGAAAGCCAGCCAGCCAACAGAAGGGTGGCAAGCCCAAAGAAAACTGTAATATGACACTCTCACAAGAACCTAAAAAACTCATGAATCAGAATTTCAAACTCACAAGTAGAAATAAACAAGCAATAAGTCGATGTGAAATAAAAGCTGACTACACTCAAGAAAGAAATTTAAGAAAATATAAAAATCACAAAAATAAAGACTAGGGCTAATGGAAATATAACTTAAAATACAGTAAATGGCACAGAGAATAGAAACAAAAATAGCCAAGAAAAGGAAAACCAAATAAGAGATATCAATAATAGAAAAAGTGATGGATATAGAAGTTAAGCAAATACAAACATATATACAAGTGTGTGTATATGTGTATACATGTTGATTACATATATATAATTAAATATTACATATTCATATATTTATTTAAGAAATTTGACTTCATGCCAAAGGAGAAGAATATTCTGAACTATAAACTGAGTAAGTCAATCTAAACCTTAGGAACTTTAAAAAAATCCTCTTATTTCCAATGAAGTCCCTAAGAATTAAAAGCAGAACAATGGAACAGAACTATGTTTAGAACTATAAGGCAATAAAGCCATTTTGAAATAAAAGAAGATATGAATCTAGAAAGTAAAAGGAAAGTAACATGTACTTGGAAAAATATATCCATAATGGTCAAAACTCAGACAAATTTTAATAAAGCTAATAGATTTGAGAGACAAAAAAAATTTGCCCTGCTCTGGCAAAGCACCATGTCATTTACAAAGGAAAGAAAATTAGTATGTCATCAGAGTTCTTGAAAGCAATATACGAAACAAGAATAGAGCTACATTATCAAGAAACTCAAATAAACAATTTGAGCCTAGAATTTTATAGACAGTAAATATATAAATAATATAAGTTCTAACAAAGTAGATTTAACACAATTTTTAAAAATGGGAGAATAAGGGAGGAAGAACAGGACAGTGGACCATACACACCACCAGTCAGAGCATCTCTGTAAGAAGGAGAAGTTTTAGATGAAAGAGAAAAAACAGACAGACAAACATAGATCAGATGAGGGTCTGAAGGAAGGGTGCCAAAATCTGCAGGAGACTCCATGGGAATAGGTTATGGAGCAGAACTGGAAGGAGAGAGGCATCGGTGGGGATTCAGTCCTGACAGGCTTGGAGACCAGCGAGAAGAGTAGGTGGATCAGTTAACTTTCCCCTCACTTGCATCTCAGACTATTGGTGGGCTCCCAAGCTGCTGGAGAGACCTTCTACCCATATGAGTCCAAAGACTGATGCTGCCAGTGAGCAGAGAGCTTCTCATGGATCAGGCTCCCAGTGTCCCCAGGGTGCCTTCTACCCCACAGACCCAAGCCAAACCACAGGCGCCATATTGCTGCTCTACCCACTGTGTGCCTTTGTCATCCCCCCGGGGCCTTAACCCCTCGGGTTCTGTTTGCTCGTCCTCACACAGACATTTCCCAACGCCAGACCAAACTGCAGGAGCCACAGGGGCGAGTGGATCCTGGGTGATCTGTGTGACTCCAGAGCCTGGCATTCTGGGCAGACTACCTCCTGGAGAGAGGCTTAGAGAGGACCAGAGTGAGGACTTTCCTCCACCAACACTCCTCTTCTCCCCTCTTTCTTCCACTGGTGGCTGCCAAGAGAGACAATTGAGCCACTGCATGGAGGCTTCCACAGGGAACAGGGCTTACTTAGTCCTTTCCATTTAGAGTCCTGCAGTGGACTGAGGGGTGATTGAACTGTGAGCTCCCTGCCTGCTGGCCCTCCCTGGTGCTACTTGCCCAGTGACTCCAGCAGAGTGGGGCAAACCCTGAGGTGGAGGGACATTGAACCTGCTTGGGCACCCCGAGGATGACTTGAGACCAGCATCTTTCTCCTTGGCATAGAAAATGATTAATCTCTGTGGTCCAGGGGACGGGCTTATAGGCCAGACCCTCTAAACCCAGGTCTTGATCACATTGCCCAGGGGCACAGTGGGGATACTTGTGAATTAGTCTCACCAGGTGTAGGTGATTGTAGGGGTAGATCAGGGGTGATAGTACAGAGTGGGCTCTAGCTGCAGGTGTGCTTGCAGGACACCCTCATCCCAAGGCAAGGCTGTGCTCCTAGCACAGGCTGGAATCCTGGGCGGGGAACCTCCTGTTCTGTATCACAGTCATGCAGGAGCTCGGCTAGTTTGACATCCTGCCTGTCATCAGAGGCCTGTGAGAAATCACGGTATAGGGGAGGGTGAAAAGGAGTGAGGCCTGCTCCAGACTCCCTGATTGAGGGTCCCAGAGACACGCCTCTTACTAGATTAACCAGAGGCAGAAAACAAAGGCCTCTAATAAGCTCAATCATTAATGCAAAGGGAGATGTTACACCTGATATTACAGAAATACAAAATGTCATCTGTGAATACTCTAAAAATCTCTATGCACATAAACTTGAAAAAATAGAGGAAATGGACAAATTCTTAGTAACACACAGGAAGAAATAGAATTCCTGAACAGAACAATATCAAGTGCCGAAATTGAAGCAATAATAAAACTTATCTAAAAAAAAAAAAAAAAAAAAGAAGTACAGCACCAGATGTTTTCACACCCAATTTAACCAGACTTACACTGAAGAACTGGTGCCTATCTGCTATCCTGCAGAAACTATTCCACAGCATTGACAAGGAAGGAATCCGACTGAACACGGTTAACAAAGCGAACATCACCCTGATACCAAAGCCAGAAAAGAACTCAACAAAAAAAGAAAACTACCCTGATACCAAAGCTAGGAAAGAACTCAATAAAAAAGTATAACTTTACGTTTGGGGGATGGACATGCTTGAAGCTCTTACTCGTGGGGGGAGGGGTCATGGGCAATATATGTAACCTTAACACTTGTACCCCCATAATATGCTAAAATAAAAAAAAATAGAAAAATAAATAATAAAATAAAATGAAGGTCTGTGTATTGAAACTAAGTTAATTAATGATTAATCAAATAAAAAAGTAAAAAATAAATTTATATCAATAGACACTAAAGAATTAAAACAAATGAATTAGATATTTAACTCAAAAAGCTAGAACATCAAAAACTACTAGAAAATAGAAGGAAGGGAATAATAAAGATAAAAACAAAAAAATCAGTTAGAAAAGAGAAAAACAATGGAACTTGTAAAATAATTATATTATTATTTGGAAGGTAATAAGAAATGGCACAAGGTAGAAATAGTCACTGAAACAGAGGAAATATGATAAATTACTTCACAAACTATGTAAATGGAATAGATAATTTCCTAGGAAAATACAATTTAACAAAATTAACTGTAGTGGCAGTAGAAGGTAAAGTGACCCAATAATTATAAATACAAAAAAGCAGCAGGCTCAGATGTTTTTACAGGAAAATTTTACCAAACTTTCAAATACTAACCCCAGTGTCGCTCAAATTCTTTCAGAGGACTGAGAAAGATGTTCACACTTTCTTATGGAGTATTCCATTGTTATCTAAACCTGATAAAACTTTCACAAAAAAATGAAAAGTACAAACCAATCTCACTTTTAAGTCTCAACACAAAAAATCCCAAATGAAACATAAACAATATAGAATCCAAAAGCATGTTAAAAAATTAAAAAATGCATCATGACAAGTGGCATTTATACAGGAATGGAAGGATAACTCAATATTTGAGATATCATTAACACAATTTTCCATATTAATGTATCTATGGAGAATATCAGTCATCATTTCCATCAATTCTGAAAAGAACTTGAACAAAATTCAGTATCATTTTTGATTAAGAGAGGGACAAAGAGACAGATGGGGGAGGGAGGGAGAGAGAGAGAACAGATATGACAAAGTTTATTGTTGAATCCAGACAGAGGGATTATGGGTATTCAGTGCAACTTTTCTGTTTTTGAATTTTCTGTTTCTTTTTTGTTTTCTGTCTTTCTTCTTGTAAGACAGAAATTTGGGAAAATTTCACAAAATTTGGAGAAAAATTTATACATAGACTTTTTAAATATTTACCTCTTTGTTCACGTGTTACATGAGGCTTAATCAATGCTAAAGTGCTTTGAGGAGGAAAGAAATGCTTTATTTCCCACTCAGCAGCTTCTACTGAATCACTTCCATACAACTGGTTAATAGGCAAACTTCCTCTTGCAAATTGTAGACATAAACTGTGAAAAGGAATTCAAGTTCAAAAGTTTTATTTTACAACATAACATAACAAGCATCACGCTATACAAGTTGTTCGAAAGTTATCAAACAGCTACTAATTCCACATTTAGGCACTATGCAAAAGGAAGTAATCACAGAGTGGCTTAGGGCAGGCTATTTCCTTTCAGGGAGGTAATAGTCATTAGGAAGGAGGGATGTGATCCCATGAAAAAAGTTAGGTGACCATGATATGAATCCTACCTCTCTGGATGATTTTCAATGGCTTTTTCGACAGTTATTGGTCCCAATAACTCTTTCCAGTGTTCCACACCATTGTCTCCCAATAAAACAATGGCTAGAGATGGACCACTATTAGAAAAGGATAAACAAAAAAAGAATAGGTAATAAAAGTGTGGCTCAGTGCTAATTACATATAGGTAATGCAAATGTAGGCCATTAAATAGATTAAAATATGTAAAAAATAATCCTTTAAACAGGGTTCTAAAATTGATTTTCATTGGTACATTTTCAGGAGCATATTTATAAAAGAATGGAAGCAGAGAAAGAAAGGGAAGAGAATTCCTTTGTTCTTATAGGTGGTTCCTTCATTGTTCCTATGTTCCTACTGGTTTATATACCCTTGTTTGATGTCTGCCTCAACTGCCATTTTTCAGTTATTCTAGAAGCCTGGCAGATTTCTAGCATCTCATTCCTCTCCCAGAACTGTGATCTGTAGGATTACCAAAGCCCTTGAGAGTTAGTCATTTCTCTACTTGGACTTGATGATGTTGCACACCCTGGATTTCTGGTGTTCTACTCAACTGGGCTACAGTGACTTCCCCTGGAAGCTACTCACTGCTCCAGTAACCTTCAAGAAACACTAGAAGAGACAGACTGTTGAACAAAGAATCAGGATGGGAGCAGGACTGTCAAGAAGTAGACTCATAAGCCTCTTACAATGCGTGGAAATAAAAAAAAAAAAAAAAAGAAGTAGACTCAGAACATGTTTACAGAATTGGGAGATTTGGCAACTTGAACAGAAAGCAGACTTAAGAGAAGGTTTAAGTGATTCAAAAAATAAATCAGACTAAACCTGAACTCTACCTGGTCATGTATTCTATAAGTCTCTCAAAATAGTTTTCATTTTCATATTCCTTGCACAGTATGTGTGCTTCCTGTTCTGATAATATTATTTGTCTTTGATCCAGTATTTTGAAGCCTTCTTCTTCAATAACATGCAAAACTTCCTCTAAGTAAAAACATTCACATAATAAGTTTTAAATGGATAGGTTACTGGTTATATATACAATACATGATATATATCATGACAACATATGAAACACTTTATTCTCATATGAAATTTAAAAGTTTGCAAAAATAGCTTCTTAGATTTCAATTTGAACTGAACAATGCATTTTAACATATCAAATTATAATGCTATTTCCAATTGCTCATCACATAGGAATCATCTGCTCTCACTCACGTGCACGCAAAGGTATCTCAGGAAACATTTTCTCTGGCTATCTGCACGCATGCGTGTGTATATGTGTGTACGGAGAGTAACCTAAATAACCAACAAACACAATGATGGAAGTCTTTATGAATAATTTTTATATTCAATAACCCTTACTTTGTTTGTCCCACTTGGGGAGAAACAAGTTGACTGGATACCCCAAAGTAATTATCAATCTCCTTCTCTCTTGCTTGCTTCCCACTATGGAAGCCTTGAAAAACCAATACTCACTTCTTCATGTTTCCTTATGGGACCTATGGCAATGTGACCCAGATATAGTCAAGCATATATGAAAGAAATCAAGCATATATGAAAGAAATACGCTGGGAATTCTTCTGAGAAAGGCACCCAGGGGAGAACCTCTCAGCTCCACACTACCTTTGGATTCCTGCTTTGTAACGCTTGGGGGACATGAAGCTTGAAGCTGGGGCAGCCATCTTGCAACAAGGAGTGAAAAGCACAAATGCTGACTCAGAGCCTGGGCAGCCTTATGCTCCGGATCAAGCCAAAAAATGCATCCCAACTGATACAGTACCTCTCCAGGAAATAAACTAAGCAAACAATTGAAAAGAAAGAGTGAAACTAACAAGATATCATGCATGTTAATATCATTTAAGCAATAATTTGCTTCAGAACCACCTCACAGACAAGAAAATGAAAAAAAAAAACCCACAATATTCATATAGTTCTTGAAACTTAAAAACATAGAATCATATTAATTCTTACAGGACACTGATGTTTTGTCTTTAATTACTAAATTTAAAAAAAAGATTTCTCATATGAGGGTAGCTGATGACAACAGTTTAAAAAGTAACAAGTAGTTTTCAAGAAATGGCCATATAATGGGTTCTTATAATAACTCATGATAAAAGCCAAGGAAAAATATTCAGGAAAGGTAAATCTGCATGAAGCTAAAGAAAGTAGACTTAACGGCACAGCGGTCGATTGATCACTCTTGAGAGTACTTGAGATGCCTCCCCTAGTTTGCACTCTCTCTGTTAGGTGATCACAAAAGAATTAAAAATCAGGTATATAGGGAGTCCTCAGTAGCCAACTGATAGATTAAAAAGGCACTGGGGTAATTTGAAAGATGATATTGAGTTTTTTGACCTCACCATTAGAGGATTAAGTTCCACTTTAAATTCCATGCTGGATATCCTAACAAATATATTATTTTGTTTCATAATGGTCTTGAGGATGCTCAAACATTATGTCAAGCATTCCACTGACATTATCGGATACTATGTTCAGTGACAGGTATGGAAAAACAGAGAATTCATGGTTCCAGATACAGGCATCAGCAGTTGTATAGAAGTTTTATGGAATAACATGGTCTATAAATATGTTTCAAAGCCCGAAACAACTTGATATCTTACTTCTTGTCAATCACAGACAAATTTCTAAGCAAGATGGTTAGTAGTTAAATCAATGCATAAAAATCAGCACATTCTTATGTGTCTACACAATCTTGAAAAAAAATAGAGCAAATATAAAGCGAAATAGTTCTTCAAGGATCTAAATGAAACAAACCACCACCACCACTAACAAAAAACCAATTATATACAAAGGAACAAAAACCAGGCCAACAGCAGAGTTTTTCTCTGCAACACAAAAGGCCGAAAATCAGTGAGCCAAAGTCCATAGGTTTGGGGGTGGAGAATTTATAAAATACACACACACACACACACACACACACATACACATACACACACACATATCTGGCCAAGTAAGTTTTCTTTCATAGATAAAGGTAATAGAAAGACATTTTCAGATATGCTAGAGCTCAGAAAAGGAAACCAGTAGGTACATATCTTTTTTAAAAAACATGTTTAAATATATGCTCCAGATAAATGAGAGATAAAATATAACTAAGCGGTTAAAGAGTGGGAAATTAATAGACCTTTCGAGGACTGTGGGAAGTTCAAAATCCAGTTTAGATAAGAAAAATTCAAAATACATCAGCTATAAACCTGATTACAAAAATATGAATTGCAAAATATTATCAAAAGATAATACATGTATTATAAAAAGTAACTTAACCACCATCTCTGTGTACTAAAGCCTCAAACAACAGTAATAAAAACTTGAGAGCACAGAAATTGGATCAGGTTGAGAATGAAGAGAAGAAATAAAACTCTGCTAAACTCAAAACTTGATGATTTACTCTTGATTTTTTAAAATAATTAAATATCTGAATTATATACATAGAGCACTGAATATTAAGAATTATGAGTCAAAGTTTAAAGTAGGAATGTCTTCATTACCAAATAATAAGGAATTATAATAAATTGATGAAAATTCAAATTCAGAAGTTAGAAAAGAAACCAAAATAGAAACCATATAGATGTATCAAAATGAATACAAATCCATTATTACAAATTAAAACAAAAATTAAGTAATTATCAAAGAAAAACAAATTGCTCTTTGAAAAAGATTCTAAATGAGTTTCTAATAAATCTAATCAAGGAAAAACTGAAAATACTCAAATAAACCACATTATTATTGAGTAAAGGGTGTAACTATCTATCATGATATTAAAACAAATTTTGGTGTAATGCTATATAAACCTGATGTTAGTACATTTGAAAGTCAAAAAAATGGATGAATTTCAAGGAATGTACAAATTGCCAAAAACTGTCCCAAGAAATTTTAAAAACTGAAACATAAATAACAATGGAAGAAATTTTAAAAGTTGTGTAAAAGCCTGCCTGTCCCCCAAATTGAGGATCAGCTTGAGTGCTTTATGAATATATTTCTATATTTCTATATATTTCTATATTTCTATAGTTATCTATAATTTTTCAGATGTGTAAAACTGTCTCAGTGTGCTTAACACAAAGGAAAAATAGAATAATCCTACTATAACACCTGGGAAAAACTAAAGAACATTATTACTAACATAAGTATATCCCAATCAACATAGCATGCTGTATACCATGAGCTATTAAAGTTTATTCTAGGAAACCAAGAAAGGTTGAACATTAGGAAATCTGTTACAATTGGATCAAGAGGTCAATAGATCAAAGGAGAAATAGTATCTCATGTCTATCTCAGTAAATATAAAAAGAAAAGCATTGGATTATACATTCAAAATCTTTTTGTATCACTTTCTACTAAACTAGGAATAGATGATAAAAAAGATAAAAAATATGTCCCTGAAATCAAAAGCCAATATCATAATTAAAAACACTGGAGACATTCATAGCAGTCAGGGAAACATCAGGCAAGAGGTTACCATAACAGCTGTTAATTAATTTTTATGGAGATACCACACAATCCATAGAGATAAGAAAATGGAATAAAATGGAGAAAATGATGTTCGCACATTAGTTCATTAGTTGTTTGGAAATTTCAAGAGTCTATTTTAAACAGGCAAAATATTTAGAATTAATGTAATTCAGTACAGCATTCAGTAAGAAAAAATACACAGAAGTCACTTTCTTATGTAGGAAATAAAAATAGGTAGAAATGATGTAATTCACCATTAACAATAGCAACAACAAGAAACTTGGAATAACCCTAAAAAGCACTGTCTGGGCACTATAACAGCAACAACAACCTACAAACAGCGGACATTTACTGAATGCATACTTTGGAGCAAAGCACTTTATATCTATTACTATATTTAATTTAAAAATATGATGATAACTATATAAAGAAAACTATATCTTAGTAACAGATTAATAAAAAATATAATAGGTGAGCTGAGTAAAGGTGTATTGTACTCCTTGAAAATAAATGAGAATATAATGAAGATTTTAATTTTTTCTAAGCTAAATAATCCGACTTTGCTATGGAATTTCTTTTAGTGATCCAGAACAACAAAGTATCCATAAAAGCCAGAAATTTATTGAAAAAGAAGAGTGATGAGTTATTACTCACTACCAAATGGCTATTTACAAAATAAATAAAATATTTCAAATATTATTTCTTTAATTACAGATTGTTCTGATTTCATCATCTGTAATCTCTCGCTTGGAATTTCTATTCTAACTGCTGCTGCAAGCACTCAGCTGAAACTGCTCAAGGTGATCCTCTTCCTGGCTAACACAAACTCAGTGTTTTGGCCCCAGGTTAAACAGTGCTTCCTCTAAGAAGCTTTAAGTAACTTTCCCTTCACTTGGCCACACTTATACTTCTAGTTGAATGTGATCTGCATGTCCCACCTGTGTGCTCACCCACTGCCACGACCATGTCTTATCATAGCACCTTCCACACTCTACTATGAGGGCCTCTGTGGTTAGGTGTGTTCTGCACCAGACACTGTTGTGTTAGTCAGGATAAAGATATTAATACAAATCAACCCAAAAATCCTAGTTGCTTAACACAGCAGAGATACACTTATTGCCTATGCTCCGTGTCCCTAATAAAGCTGCAAGGGTGGCTCTGCTCCTCACGGTCACTCATCAGGCTTACGAAGGCTCTACAATTTATGCTCAAGTCAACTGGAATGCGAGCCCACCTTGGTCATCATTGCAGGGGAAGAGAAATAGAATATTTATTGTAACAGGCTTTTTATAGCTTTAGCCCAGAAGGGACACACACCACTTCCACTTACAGTTGACTAGACAAAACTAATCACATGGCACCATTCAGATGCAAAGGACTCAAGGAAGAGTGCAGTGTGCCCTGTGCCCAGATTGCAGGGCATGGGGGTGTGGTTTGTTGGGGGGATACTAGCAGAGTCTACTATGGCACTAATTTCAGCACATGCAGTAACTCTTCTAATTATAAGT